TAAAAGCGTTGCAGCTCGAAGTTACCTGAGTTTAAGAAACTATGCATTTGTTTGAATAATTTGGATTTGGGTGGTAGAATGTCAAATTCCAAGTTTTCAAGTAATTTTCAGTAATTTCATTGATGTTATTTACAAATCAAAGTAACCTAAATTGAAGAAACTTTCCATATATTTTTTTTTTAAATAATTTTGTTTTGCGTTTATGGAATATAAAATTACAGTCGTTTATCAGCGATATGATTCATTAAATAACATTGAAAATCCACTATAATTATCTAAGTACACGTAGATAACAAAAGAACAACGATTGAAACGCAATGCCAACTAATGTGATTGTAACGTGACATTAGTATCATGCATAAACTTTAGTGTTGTATTTGACCTGATTATAAACACTAATTTGTAGCTTTTTCGGTTTCGCATTTATAAAAGTATCAATTTTTATGTACGTAAAGGAAAAAAAAAAGGAACGTGACTTTTCCTGGCAATGCGGCGCGGCGGTGACTTATCGCAACACGAAACTTTTGCGGGTAGATAAAAATGGAATGAAGTCATTCGTTTATTGCACCTTCTGGTTGGATCGAATTCACGTTTCGTGTGAACGCTTATCATCTAATCAATGTTGACTCTTGTGAGTCATCTTTTCGATTAGTTTCTTCTGGAATTGAAGTTTTGTGTAGATTAAAATTTGCAATGTTTCCTTTTACGTCATTATTTCATAAACATCTTTTTCAGTTAGTTTAATCGAAAGTTCTCTATTAAATGTTTACTTTATAAAAGATTTTTCTTGTTTTCATATTGAAAATGCAAATATCTGGTGAAGTCTCTGTGCAGAATTCACCAATTAGCAAACTCGACCTAAAACCAGTTTCTTCGTAGGTTATTACCATCGATGCAAGTTCATCAGCTTAGCGGATTCGCTTAGTTTCGTAACCTCACGTATATTCTGATTGTGGAAGCAAATTATGTAACTTTGGCAGGCTTTAAGTTTTTATTGTTGATACAATGTAATGTGTGTTGTAAAATTATTTCAATTTGTAGACATTTTTTTCAAAATTTGTCCCAACTTTATTACTCAATTTTATAAGATTTTTGTAATTTAATTTAGCAAACGGATTCTTTAGAAATCTTGATTTATTTTCAGTGATTTCTCGATTTCAAATTAAAGACGAATTCTTCAAAAAATTAACGTTAACTTTTGGCTTTAAATATTCAATATATACACGAATTCTTCTAAATACGACAGTTATTTTAAACGTTTTCTTAATTTCAATTTTCAGACGAATTCTTCAGAAATTCACGTTAACTTTTGGCTATTATTTTAAATGATTTCTTCATTTAAATTTGCAGACGAATTCTTCGGAAATTGACGTTAACTTTTATGTTTTTATTGTTACTTTGATTATTTTTTTTAAACAAATTTAAATTAATACTCGTGTAATTAAAGATATAACGATGTGTGTTCATATCTGTACAAAAGAGACCTTGAATTTGTTATCTCCGGTTATTGTCATTGGTGTTTGGTTACGCGTTAAGAAATGTTTCGTAATTTTTTTCAATTGTGTAAGAAAAATCGTGACTTTCCTGGCTTTCTGTTTGTGCGAGTCGAATGAGTAATTTGCAACTTGAAAATTTTCGTTGTTGGATGATGTGAAATTACCTTTTTTGCGTCAAAATTTTCCATTTTTATCAGGAAAAATGTTATCATTTATTACGTGGATTTTTGTTGACCTTTGGTACTGTTCAAACTATAAAATTTGTTTAGTGATTTTCATGAAAAAAACTATAGAATTTATGAAGATTTCTTAATGAAAGTTATCAATACTAAAAGAAACCATAAAATCTACCTTTACTTGACACTTGAAATTTACGTTATTGCAACTATTGGAAATTCAAGTTTAACGTAAATTTCGTCAATCGAATAAATTTTGTTAATTATTCAACAAAAATGTTAATTAAGAGAAAAAAAATACCAACGAACTTCTCGTCTCGAGGTTTCTCTCAAATTTGTTTTTCCATGCATCTTGATCCGAAGAAACAACGCGTTTTGCATGGACCACACAGCGCTTACGTAACTTCGAGAATTGAACCCGAAAACCAGTTACAAAGACAAACACCGAAAACCACAATTAAATTAAACTTTGATCCGCATAAATCTCATTTTCTCTTTGTACTTTTCATAAAATCTTGATTATCGCAGGTAATAACAACAAGTTTCGAAGGTTAATGCATTTTGTTTCTGCAGACGTAACGCACTACTCGACCTTGGGCCACTTAATAAAAATTATAAAAGAATACGTGAAAACATATTGAAATATTGTTGTTGTTTTTTATAAATTGTATACTGAACTTTGCGCAATGTCTGACTTGAAAAACCAGTGAAATTTGTGAAAAATCCAAGAACGAATCGCTTAAAAAGTGATTTCGAATTTGTTGTCGTTAAATATTGTTAATTGCAAACGAGTTTCTTGTTGTTGTTGCTGCTTCAATTTGATTGCAAATTATCGTATTGTCTTCATTTAATATTGGTAATCAATTCCGGGTTGTTTTATTTAAAAACTCAAGGATGTTTGCAAAGTGTTTAAGTGTTAATTCTTATTTTTTAAATGATATTTTCTTAAAGTTATCTACAAGAATTTCTATTTGATTCCGTGATTTCATTGATTATCGAGAAAACTTGAATTTGTTGAGCAAGTTTAGGAAACTATTTTGACTATTGAATTCCTGAAATTAATTGAATAACTTAATTTTCTTCCATGGTTTTCTTCAATGTTTATCAACTTTGTATACTGAATTCATAACTGTGATTCATCAACAACTTGCATTGATAAGATGAAATGCAACAAATCCTTCATACTCATCATCACGAAGTCCATTCAATTATACAACTTATTCCAATTAAAGCATCAATATTATCGTCGCATGAAGATAGTATTCTGAACCGATGATTCATTGCGCTCAATAGAATGGAATTCGTTCGTACTTGACCATAATTGAAGCTGTGCATTGTAATGATTACTTTCTCAAGGGTATTTCGTGTCATTTGCAGACGAATTCAGCAGAAATTAACATCAATTTTCGTTCTTTTTGCAGACTAAATCTTCATAAATTATCATCAATTTTTCACATGATTTTTGTCTATTATTTTGAACAATTGTTCAATTTCAATGTTGTACACATAAATTTTTCTTATTTTGTACAATTTTACAAGTTTTCTTTAGGAATTGATATGAAAAAAATCAACAAGACACTTTCTTTATATCTGCGTGAAATGCAACTCTCTCTCTTTTGTTTTACGAGCAGCGTCATCGTCTCTATCCTTGGGCTATTTCTAAAGACGAGGTTCTTCTCCGCTCATGAGCGAATTACATTTTTAATTTACTCTTTCTCACCTCTTCCTTCCAATTACGCGTCAAAATGCGCGCATTTTTATTTGAAGGTATTTAAAGAATCAGCGTAAACAATCTGCTTTCTTTCTTTTTATCGTTTTTTGTTGGAAACTGTCTGAAAACCGATTTGTTTCTCTGCGTATTTTTAACTTTCAATTCATGTATCATGCTGATATTTGGGTTAAATTTAACTTTAAGCGTTTTTTTCAGTTCGGCTTCTATATATGAAAATCGAATGTTCAAATATTCAAATTTGGTAGACTTTCTTAAACCATATTTAAGCGTGTCGATGGAATGTTAATTGTAATTGCATAATACAATTATTCATTGTAAGCAAATGTAAGCTAAGTTTTCTATATGTATTTCGTTTCATAACAATGGAGGAAAAACATGCGTTCCGAAACCGTTAATTTTCTAATTTCCTTTCCGTCTGTTGCATTCCAATTCCCTTTAAGTCCGTTGCATTGGCGGTACAAACGTAAATACAGTAATTACACACGTAAATTATGATGTTTTGTAACAAAGAGAGAGGAAAGAAATATTGATAATTGTTATTGGATACCTGCTGCGGTCAGGAAATGGGAAGTAGTCCAACTGTTTATTATTGCAGTCTCGTGCAGTTTCCTCCAACTGTTTATGGTTTAAAACTTTGTTTCAGTTGCAACTGGAAATCTTTTTGAAAGTGAAATTGTAGTAGAAAGAAACGAAATCTGTGCATTTGCATTCAGATTGATGAAACCAGAGTTTGTCTTTGGAGACGTGAGAATATAACGATGGTTGTCTTCCCTTCGTGTTTTTTTTGTTGTTGTTGTAATTGAAGACAATTAAATCCCCTCGATGAACGTGGACGCGGAGGACCAATCCACGTTCATTCGATTAACGCAATTAACGCTCAAACGTTCCCTCGTCTACGGGGTCAAAGCTTCTCCATTGAATCATCAATTTAGTGGTGACTACAAAAAAAAGGGGGTTAATTATGTGGCACTTTTGTTGTCCTTTGATTCTTTCCTCTTTGGACAAATCTTTTATACTTTATTGTGAGATAATTCTGCCATGTATACTTGATACTTGACAAGTTAATTGTAAATTGTTTTTGATGTTTTATGAGAGATCTTGATTCATTTCTGTATTATTTTTTTTTGTTGCAGACTTTGGGTGCTAAGAGTAACGAGAGCACCAGCCGCAAGGATCGCGTCGAAGATGCCGGCCACTGCATCTGGTACGGGCAATGCCACGAGGACAAAGGGGGGAAGCAGCAGAATTGCCTTTACAATGGAACCGCTAAGATCCTGGACAACGATGGTCAGCAGATCTTGGCCAAATGGTGTCCCCATCTCCTGGAGGACGACGGTACCGGGGTGAAGACGTGCTGCGACACGGCGCAGCTCCGCACGATGGATGCGAACATCCCGTTGGCCGGGAACTTCCTGAAGAGATGCCCTTCGTGCTTCAAGAACTTCGTGCGACACCTCTGCGCCTTGACCTGTGCAAAGAACCAGTCGCTCTTCTTGGATCCCATCGAGGTGAACCAAACCGACAAAAGTAAGACTTATTTCCTACATATAATTGAAGCAATAGTCTATTATAATTCTTCATTCTATAAATGTTATTATTAACTATTTTGTTTTGTTTTCAGATGTTACTTATATCACCGGAGTGGACTTTTACATCCACAACGATTACTTGCAAGGAACGTTCGATTCCTGCAAGCAGGTCAGCGTTCCGAGCACCGGCCAACTGGCCTTGGATCTGATGTGCGGCGGCTGGGGTTCTGCCAAGTGCACGGCCACCAGGTGGTTCGATTACCTGGGCGAAGCGGACGGCAATCCATTCGTTCCATTCCAGATCAACTACAAGAACACCTCTTCGCCGGTAGCAATCTACGTTCCACTGAACCCTCTAATCACCCCGTGCAGCAAAGGCGAAGGCGTAAGATATCAGAAAAAAACGATAAAATACAATCTAATCTTCCACATGTTTTACAGAAAAATCCAGCGTGCGCTTGCATGGATTGCGAGGAGAGTTGCCCCGTCCCGAAACCGCCGCCCCCAGCGGAAGGACCCTTCCTGATCGGCGGCTACGACGGATACGCCGTCGTCATGACAATCGTATTCGTCGTCGGATCCGTCCTCTTCATCACGGCGAACGTCCTCAGCAACAACAGATGTTCGAGTAAGCAAAAACGAAACTGTTTGTTTTATTTATTTTTTTCTTCAAGAGTGTGAACTAATCGACGACACGAGGGTTTTCTGTATTTTGATCTGATTTTGACGCACGTGTCTTTAAAAACGAGTCCAATAACCGATGGTTTGAGAGTATTTTACACCTTTCTTGAGGGGGAGAGTTTATTTATTTTACATAATTATTTTTTTGAGCTTTCTTTTGATTGCTTCTCTCACACGGGAGGAGCGCAACGCATAACACACTGTTTGATGATTTTCTCTTTTATTTATTTTTTTTTTTGATTTACAATTATTTTATATATTTTTGTTTTTGTGGTCATGTTTTTCTTGGAGCAGGTTCGATTTTGGTACAAAAGAACGTGCAAGAAGTCGAACTGTTGGCTATCTACAGACACAACCAAGGTATTACACGAATTCGAGCGAAAGAAAACGTTCATATCAACAAAAAAAAATAGAAAGAATTGTGGGAATGATCTGGGTTTTGAAAATCGCGTAAAGACTTTATCTGTTCCAAGTAGATATTATAACTCTTTCTGTATTCTCAATTTCTCATTCTCTCTCTCTATGTGACATAGAAATATCGTTGTCCAGTCTCGACGCCGAAAAGCTGCGAATCCTCCTTAAAATACCATTAACAATGACAACTTCTCAATTAATGCCTTCTTTGATTAATCGTATTCGTTTTAATCCTTTGTTTTTCTCTCTCTCTCTCTCTCTAAATAATGCACGGAACCTCTGATTGTTATATTTCTATTGATTTATTTAATTGTACGATTTTACAGACATGAAAGAATGTACACTAAAGTCGCTCTGTTTTTTTTTCTCTCTCTTTTTTTTTGGTTTTGGGGGTTTTGGTTTTACAGTGGCTGGACTAATCCGTGGGCGTGGTACTGACGAAGTTGGTAGGCGATTGGCCGGTATGGATCGATCCTCATCACACACCGCCCTTGGCGACGGCGAGGACAGCCCCCTGCAGCAGTCCAAAAGATCCAGTATGTTAACAAACAAAAAAACAACCCTAAAAACAAAATCGCTATATTATTCGTTTCACCTTAAACTAATCAACGTGTCTCTCGTCCAACGCTGTCTAAAAAAATATATTTAATTGAATAGTTAATCCAATGATCAAGCTGCTTTTAATTGAAGAAAAAACAAAATTTTAATTAATTAAAAGAAAATTCATAAAATTTTAATAATTTCAAGAAAGTTATAACTTTTTAATTGGATTTTCTTGTTCTTTCTATACCTGTAATCATAGTCTAATCTGTAGTTGTTTAAACATTTACTCTTAACTGTGTGTGCTTTTCGCTAGTTAGATGTATTTCGCTTTGCTAGATAAATATTGCTTCAGCTTTTCACGTATTTTGTCGTGCAGCTTTTCGTTGTATCATCAGCAGGACCTGGACGAACCATTCCGAACCGCACTAATCCGATTTCGTTCGATTTTCCTCCTTCAGGCGTAACTTCCGAGACCGACCATGAGCTGGACACGCACTCGATCAACAAAATGCCGGGAGAATACGACGTCGTCTCGTCTTCTTTCCTCGAGAAGCTCGGAGCCAACACCGACACGTACCTGCAGCGCTTCTTCGAGAGATGGGGCGTCTACTGCGCGTCCCGTCCCTGGTTCGTCCTCTTCCTCGGAGCATGCCTCGTGATTGCCCTGGGACACGGCATCAAGTACCTGAAGGTGACCACGGATCCGGTTGAGCTGTGGGCGTCGCCGTCGTCACGATCGAGAGTCGAAAGGGAGATCTTCGATTCGCACTTTGAGCCTTTCTACAGGAACGAGCAGATTATCATAAGGGCTGTAGGTCTGCAGCCTGTCGTACATGAAACCTCAATTGGTGAGCTGAAGTTCGGCCCAGTCTTCAACGAAACCTTTTTGAGAGCAGTTTTCGATCTTCAAGAGAAAATTAAACGTAAGTTTATATCAAATGATTAAGAATCTTTAACTATTGAATGTATTTTTTTAAAAATTAGTAATTGGAGCCAATACTGGACATAGTTTGGATAAAATTTGCTTCGCTCCGCTGCGCAACAAAGATACGAAGGATACGGATGTCACGCAGTGCGCCATCCAAAGCGTTTGGGGTTACTTCCAAGATGATGTGGATACCTTCGAGGAAACGGATGAGGACGAAAACGGATTCGTCGTGAATTACCTGGATCGCTTCATCACCTGCACTCAGTAATTATACAAATTTCCATCGTTAAAGATCGTATTCTCAATGTATTTCTTGTAGGAATCCTTTCAATCCGGACTGTCTGGGTCAGTACGGAGGACCTGTGGATCCGGCCATCGCCTTCGGAGGTTTCCTGAAGCCCGGAGAACATCTGAGCAAGCATTCGCAATACAAAGATTCAACGGCCATTATCCTCACGTTCTTGGTTAACAATTATCATAACAAAACTAAACTGTCGCCAGCTATGGAATGGGAGTCGGATTTCGTTAAATTCATGAAGAATTATACGGAGCACGGGAAGCCCGAATTCATGGATATCGCTTTCACCACGGAGAGATCCATCGAGGATGAATTAGATCGCGAGAGCCAGTCTGATGTGTTGACCATACTTATTTCATACGTGATCATGTTCGCCTACATCGCCGTTTCTCTTGGTCAACTGAACAAGTGCAATCGCGTCTTGATTGATAGCAAAGTTACCTTGGGTTTAGGCGGTGTGGTCATTGTCTTAGCCTCAGTGATCTCATCAGTCGGTATTTTCGGGTTCTTTGGACTCCCGGCGACCCTGATCATCATCGAAGTTATACCGTTCTTAGTGCTGGCAGTCGGCGTGGATAACATCTTCATATTAGTGCAGACTCATCAGAGGGAGCTGAGGAAACCGAACGAGACGCACGCGGAGCACATCGGAAGAATCCTAGGACAGGTCGGTCCTTCGATGCTGTTAACCAGCGTCTCCGAATGCTGCTGCTTCTTCCTGGGAAGCTTATCCGACATGCCCGCCGTTCGAGCGTTCGCCCTGTACGCAGGAATGGCTCTGCTCTTCGATTTCCTTCTGCAAATCACCTGCTTCGTCGGTCTCCTATCGCTGGACACGCAGAGACAAGTCAACAACAAATTCGACATCTGCTGTTGCATACAAGGTAAAAAGAACTCGGACGAAGGGGCGCAATCAGAAGGATTGCTGTACAGCTTCTTCAAAGAGATTTACGTTCCTTTCCTGATGAACAAGTACGTCAGAACGGGCGTGATGATCATCTTCTTCGGCTGGTTATGTTCTTCGCTCGCTGTCGCTCCGCACATAGAAATCGGTTTGGATCAGGAGCTTTCAATGCCAGAGGATAGTTTCGTGCTTAAGTACTTCAAGTTCCTGAAAGATTACTTGAGTATTGGGCCGCCAATGTACTTCGTGGTGAGCGCAGGATTGAACTACAGTCAGACGGAGCAGCAGAACATGATTTGTTCGGGGTTGTACTGCGATCTGGACTCGCTGGTAACGCAGGTCTTCGTTGCAAGTAAAATGCCCACAACCAGTTACATCTCCAAACCTAGCAACAGTTGGATCGATGATTACTTTGATTGGTCGAGCATACCGAGCTGCTGCAAATACGATACGTCGACGGGAGGCTTCTGCCCGCACGAATCCACGTCAAATAAATGCGATAGATGCATGATAACCACGGAGAAGAACTCGAGACCGAATGCCACCGGTTTCGAGAAGTACGTGTCCTTCTTCCTTCAAGATAATCCGGACGCGACGTGCGCCAAGGGTGGGCACGCTGCTTATGGCCAGGGCGTGGATTACGCGACCAACTCCACCACAGGATTATCCACGGTCGGCGCTTCGTACTTCATGGCCTATCACTCGATACTGAAAACGTCCGAGGATTATTACGAGAGCATGCGGGCTGCTCGCACCATCAGCAAGAACATCACGGACACGATTAACGGGAAGCTGCAGAAGATGGGCGTCAAGGAGAGCGTCGAGGTGTTCCCGTATTCGGTGTTCTACGTGTTTTACGAGCAGTATTTGACCATGTGGCCGGACACGCTGCAGAGCATGGGAATAAGTCTGCTCGCCATCTTCGTGTGCACTTTCCTGCTCATGGGTCTGGACATCTTCTCCTCCGTGGTGGTGGTCATCACTATTGCGATGATCGTCATCAACTTGGGCGGCGTCATGTACTGGTGGCACATCACCCTCAACGCTGTATCCCTGGTGAATCTCGTGATGGCCGTCGGTATCTCCGTCGAGTTCTGCTCGCATCTGGTGCACAGCTTCTCCGTGTCCGTCGCGGCCACGCGGAAGCAGCGCGCCGCCGATTGCCTCACTAGAATGGGTAGCTCAGTCTTCTCCGGGATCACGCTCACCAAATTCGGAGGCATCGTCGTCCTGGCCTTCGCGAAGAGCCAGATCTTCCAAGTCTTTTACTTCAGAATGTACTTAGGTAAGTATCGAATAACAACACGCATCGCAAACAACTTTATTAAATACAATCGCATTCACAGGTATCGTGGTACTTGGAGCCGCCCACGGATTGATCTTCCTGCCGGTCCTCCTCAGTTATATAGGTGAGTTGTACGAGTTGGTGCTGAGTTTAGGAATATTGTTGCTCTTCAGTGCAGGCTCAGTGTTGACAGTGCGCTACCTCTTCGAGCATCTTCTCATCAACCTTATATTTTGAACTATCATCAGAAGTAGAATACACGAACAAAATATAAGGGATCATTCGCAACAAGAAATCTATTTATTTTTAATTTTATTTACTATTTTTATTATTATTATTAACACGCATCCGTGGTGTTGTGTTTCTTTAACAATTCACGTACTTCGAATGATAAATATTGGGTTTACATGTTATAAATGCAAGAGCATGTTTTTTTCTTTAAAAGAAATATTTTTCCATATGTACTTGATGTGTGTGATATGATGCAGGTTCACCAATGAACAAAGAGAAACTGGCCAAGCATAGGATTATGCAGGGGGAACAGTTCCAGGAGACTTCTTTGAGCCGAGTAAGGACACTACTGACAAATATTTGCAAAGACTATTGTACATTTTTTACACACACGTTTTGATCTTCTATTTTATTCTGTCGGTTTATATTTAATTCTTTGCACACACAAAACGCAGGGTTTATTATTTATTTAGTGCTTTTCTTTGTTCGTTCCTAGTTTTCAGACTGCATGAACTTTAGTTTTCGTTTAGAAACAAATTCGTTTTCTTACGTTTTTGTATTTATTTACAGCCAATTCCATTGCATTTCAGTTTATCCTCAAATTATGGTGCATGAAAATTGTTGTATTAGTTTTGTTGTATTAAGGAATATTTTTTTTTATAACATTCAACTCAATATTTATTGAAACGGTTCTGGTTTATTGATTCAATAACAATCATTCATTCTCAAATTAAATTCAACTGTATTTAATAAATATGTTTCAACGAAGAGCGTTATTTGCCAAGTATATAGAAACTTACTACTTGACAAGTATCGCGTTGTGTGCAGCTTTAATACTAACATCTGACGCACTAATAATGTTGTTGAAAGAACCGAACAACATTGATCAAATTGTTTCCTAGGTAACAAAAGATGTTTTTACGATTAAATTCATATATTTGTTTGAGAAAACGTTTCCTAGGTAACGAGTAATTTAAAAGTTTGATTGAATTGGTTATAAATAAGAATTTTTTTTTTATAACATTCAACTCAATATTTATTGAAACGGTTCTGATTTATTGATTCAATAACAATCATTAATTCTCAAATTCAACTGTATTTAATAAATATGTTTCAACGAACAGCGTTGTTTGCCAAGTATATAGATAGTTACTTGACAAGTATTGCGTTGTGTGCAGCTTTAATACTAACATCTGACGCACTAATAATGTTGTTGAAAGAACCGAACAACATTGATCAAATTGTTTCCTAGGTAACAAAAGAAGTTTTTACGATTAAATTCATATATTTGTTTGAGAAAACGTTTCCTAGGTAAAAGTTTGATTAATTTATAACCAAAAATTAAATATTTCGTTATTGATCAACTCATTTCCTAGGTAACGAATTTATTTGATTGAATTCATATGGAACTTGATAAATTTTGTTGAAAATTTCGTTTATTGTTTCGTTCATCAGTTTGACACATGCTTCTTAACACTTGCACGGCTTAATCTTAGGATTATTATTGTTATTTTGGTTGTTGTTGTTGTTGGGTGCGCTTTTTGTTGTATATTTTTGCAACTTCTCTGACTGATCTCGACGACTTCTCTTCTTGCTTTCTAGGCGTGATGACACGAAACCGACGAAGACATCTAGTGACCAGGACATCGGCGCCCGATGACGAACCGACGCCGACGTCGCCGCTCCTGCAGCCGTCGACGTCGGCCGCGTTTCCGACGCCCAATTACGACAGTATAGTGTCAATTCCGTCGTAGGACAAAAAAAAAACCAACATCAAAACAGACAATTTAGTGCATCATTGATTATTATTAATATTATTTTTTTAATTTATATATACTTACCTCGGAACACTCACGTGTTTCCAGTTCCTTCAGCGCTCAAAACCGCCACCTCCAACAGGTTCGAACCCATCTTTCTTCACAAAAGACCAAGCGCCTAGATTAAATTGTTCGACCAAAGGTTCAACCAAAGTCATCATCCATGACTTTTCTAAACATATTCTAAACTTTTATATATAATTACTATTACAATTATATTATATATTATATTAAAATTATTATTATTTTTTTTGGATAAATCGGGCTGTGTGTATTTAAACTTTAATCACATTTTCGCACGGCGAATGCAAAAAATCATCCAAACCAAAAGTATTTTTATTTTTTATTTTCTACGAACTAAGTTTAAGCGTTAAAGTATGTGAAATTAGCACTATTTTTCCTTTACGTTTCCTTCTAAATCTAATTATTACCTAATTCATCGTGTTCATGTTGTAGTTTGCACCCTCTCTATTTCAACATTGAACATGTTTCCAACGAAAGTCGAAGAAACATGTTCAAAGTTTGAACATTTTTGTTTCGTTTTTTTTTTTAATTATATATAAATTATATTTAGTATAAATTGCATATATATATAATATATAAATTTGTCTCAATTTTGTTACGTAAATTGATGATTATTTCTTTTGTTCGAGTTATTTATTATTTTTACGCTTTTGAATCGTGTCATGTATCTCATTCCCATGGTTACTGTAGCTAAGATTTGTGTTTTTCATTTATTTTTTGGTTTTTTTTGTTTTGTGTAGCGAGAGATTAAGGTGTGCTTTGTAACAGATTTTATATGAAATTAACTCACAGGGTGTCTTAATAATAATATTGTATTAAATGGATATATCTTGTACTGTTAGGAAAGAGAAAAAAAAACATATAAAAAAAAACAAACATGAGAATTAAGTGAATAAAACGTCCGTTAAGCTTAAGTAATGAATCAAGAGATTTGATTATATTGATCGTTTACCCAAACTCTCCTTATCCAATTCACATTTGATTGATTTTCTTGGAAACTATAACAGATATAATGGATCGAAAAGATGCATATGAAAGCTGAATGTTTGGGGATTGTAGCGAGTATTCATATATTATTGTGGTTTTATCCGTTTGGCTGTAATTGGTGTTTAAAGTTGAAAAAACGTTCAAAAAAGGAGTGTTTTCACATTTTATTTGTTTTCTTGAAAACTATAATACATAGAATGGTTCGAAAAGATGCATATGAAAGTTGAATGTTTGAGGAATGTAGCGAGTATTCATATATTGTTGTGGTTTCATCCGTTTAGCTGTAATTGGCGTTCAAAGTTGAAAAAATGCTCGAAAAATCAGTGTTTTCACATTTCATTGATTTTCTATATTTGTGTTTTGATTGACCAAAGGTTAAATAAATGTATATATTAATTTCTAAGCAATTTACGAAATAATGTTGATCTTGAAACGTGTCTATCAACATCAAATATTATTAGCTTCGACTCGAAAATATTTCACGTACTAATGAGAGAGCGAGAGATAAACTCTTTGCGAATGCACTTCGCGTCGTCATTTGAAGTTACTTATGTAAATATCCTATCCGCTTGTATATGTAATTCATCTATACGATGTTTATATATTCAATAGCTTCTCTCAATCAGTGTTTTCTTCGGATGCTGGAATACATTATTGAATTCCAGCTTCGGCGTCGCTCCATATCTGAGCGACTCCCGAGACTTCTTCCATCAGCTTAAAGATCCAATACAAAATATTTGATGCGTAGCTTTGCAAAAAGAAAAAGAAAAAAACCTTTCAATTTTCAATTAAATATTTGTGAAAACCAAAAGTTATTTTATCATATACAAAATTAATTTCGAAATGTCAAAAAATGGATTTTGTAATTAGTTGTTTATGTAATTTAGAGATGTCAATATTCTAAATTTATAGTTATAGTATTTATAGTTGTCAGTTGTCAATGTAATTTTAAAACTCTCAAAGTTTGACATTAGGTGTTTGTATACATCCAAATTTGATCTACACCAAAAATATATATTTGGACTGTTACCTAAGCAATCAGTTGTTTATATAATATAGAAACGTCAAACTTTGACAGTGAATCGGTGTAATTCTTAAAGTCGTGTAAAAAGACTAAGGAAAAATGGGAACAAAAATATATAATTTAACTGTTTCCTAGGTAATCAGTTGTTTATATAACAAATGTCAAAGTTTGACAGTGAAGGTGGATCGGTGTAATTCTTGAAGTTGTGTAAAAATACGAAGGAAAAATGGGAACATAAATATATATTTGGACTGTTACCTAGGTAATCAGTTGTTTATATAACAAATGTCAAAGTTTGACAGTGAATCGGTGTAATTCTTGAAGTGGTGTAAAAAAAAACTAAGGAAAATGAGAACAAAAATATATAATTGAACTGTTACCTAGGTAATCAGTTGTTTATATAACAAACGTCAACGTTTGACAGTGATGGTGGATCGGAGTAATTCTTGAAGTCGTGTAAGAAGACGAAGGAAAAATGGAAACGAAGGAGAAGAAATGGAAAACGTAAGAAAAAGTTTTTTTTATTTTTGTAAATTTGTTGGGGGCGGCTGAATGAGTAAGTGTGTACGTGTATATACACTCACTTACTCATACACACACACACAATGTAATAAGGAATGTTTAAGATGATTTATGTGCACTCGTTGTATGTTTGCGTTATGTGGCGGCGGCGTCGGAGNNGAATTAAACTCGCGAGAGAAAACGTAAATATTTGAATCGGAAAATCGCATTAACGTTGATTAATACCCAAACTGTGACTTTACTACTACAAAAATATAAAATTCAGTGCGTTAATTTGTTTGCAATTTAACAAATGCGCTTTTTGCTTAGATTATGTTAGTTTTGGGTCAATGCTCTTATCGATTTGTAAGGGTCTTTCAACTCTGTGAAAAGAATGTTTATCTGTCGCGTGTCAACGAAAAATTCCGTGACTCTTGCCACCTGTACACGTCATTCCGATCTCATGAATCTTTTACACAAATGATAGCACCATACTTCTTGCGACACATTTAGTTGAGCCGCTGCTCGAAAACTAAATCCATTAAGGGCGGAATTATGTCAACTAATCCATCCTCTCTATACACACGCGGAAATCCGAACTAATCAAACTATTCGCTAATGGTAGAGTTTCGATACAGTTTGGATGTACTGCGGCATCTCTTATAGAGGTAATAAGTAACTTTAAATGATTTGAAACTCAAACAAATTTAATCTGTTTATTGAGGAAAAGTGAACTTATTTTTATCAATTAATTGATAAATTTAACTTAAATTATAACATTTTCATCAATTAGTTAAAAGAAACAATAATAATTAATCGTTTAATGTAAATTATTTCCACTTCATTTAGAATGTAAATAATTTAGGAAAACAAATATTTTCATTAATTAGTAAAAATTTCAAAAATAATTGAGTAAAATAGGTCACTTTTCATCAATTAATGAAAAATTTAACTTAATTTTTACTATTTTCATCAATTAGTAAAAATAAATCAAAATTAATTAAACTTTTAAGGTAAATGATTTCGACTCGATTTTCAATGTAAATAATTTACGAAATCAAATATTAAGGATTGAATTTTCATTAATTACTAAAAATTTCAATAATAATTGAGGAAAATTGGTCACTTTTCATCAATTAATGAAAAAATGTAACTTAATTTTTACTATTTTCATCAATTAGTAAAAATAAATCAATATTAATTAAACTTTTAAGGTAAATTATTTCCACTAGATTTTCAATGTAAATCAATTAATGAAATCAAATATTAAGGATTGAATTTTCATCAATTACTAAAAATTTCAATAATAATTGAGGAAAATTGGTCACTTTTCATCAATTAATGGAAAAATGTAACTTAATTTTGACTATTTACATCAATTAGTAAAAGTAAATCAATATTAATTAATCTTTTAACGTAAATTATTTCCACTAGGTTTTCAATGTAAATCAATTAACGAAATCAAATATTAAGGATTGAATTTTCATCAATTACTAAAAATTTCAATAATAATTGAGGAAAATTGGTCATTTTTTATCAATTAATGAAAAATTTAAATTAATTTTGACTATTTTCATCAATTAGTAAATATAAATCAATATTAATTAATCTTTTAACGTAAATTATTTCAATGTTAATAATTTACGAAATCAAATATTAAGGATAGAATTTTCATCAATTACTAAAAATTTCAATAATAATTGAGAAAAATTGGTCACTTTTCATAAATTAATGAAAAATTTAAATTAATTTTGACTATTTTCATCAATTAGTATAAAAATTCAATAAAGATCAGTAAATTATTTCTATATTTAGAATCAAATTTTCCATTAATTAATTGAATTTTCCGCCCTTTATTGTGGGAATCGAATATCACAAGACCAACAGTATTAATAATGATAGAATTTCATTTGTATTTTATTTTTGTAGTTGCAATCAAAAGCTTAATTAATAACGGCGATTTTCGTTTCATGGAAAATACTTTCACGTGCATGTATGTTAACTTTGCAAATCATTTAAACGGAATGTTATTTTCGTTGAATTCCGCGAATTGCAAAAATCTGTGCGTTACACAAAGCGTGCCAAAAAGCGCACAGATCAATGCGTTTAAAGTACTGACGTACTGATAGTATTTATAAATAAAAAACTATTTCAATTTGTATTATGTAATGATTGTATATGAAATGTTTGCATTATTTTAATGGTCTTTTTTTTAATGTGATAATGATGTTGGAAAGTATCGTTTGGATAAAAGGGCTCTGACACAGATTATTAGTGTTTGAGATCGATTCTTGTAGCCCAAGAAACCTACACTAGCACCTTCAGATTACTATTTGTTCCGGTCTCAACCCACTTCCTTAACGGCAAGAACTTCGATGCCCCGGAGGCCTACTAAGAAAGGAATGAAAGAGCGGAACA